CATATTCTGAATATGGCCATAGAATATACATATACATATCGTTTCCTCTACTACTTTAAAAGTAGTAGCACAACTTAAAGAAACATAATTTTTTAATTATTAACTTGAAGAAGTTAAGTATAAGTTAACTTATCATTACATTACCATCAATCACTAAATCAAATATGAATGACTTAAGTTAATCATTATTACATTACTATCTATTATTATGAACTAACTTAATTTTAGAAAAAAATAAAATATGACATTTGATTATATTAAGAATATATTTTTTTTTATATTAATATGTATTACTTTCGATATTATTTAGCTGATATAATTTTAATAATCAATGATTTCGTGTTAAGTAAAACAATTTTTGAAAAACAATTTTTTCCTTGTTTTCTGGGAAACTTAATATTTTGAGTTGTGTTACTTTTAAAGTAAGAAAATATTATGTTCGTTACACACATATAAATATAAGTTAAACAGTAATAAATTATTGTTAAAAAGATTCGACTAATTAAAAAAAATATTTCCGGGTAATTAATTACCATTTATTTTTAAGAGAAAAAAGTTCATTTTTAAGAGAAAAAAGTTACAGTATTGTTATGCAAATATAATTTTATATCAAAGTATTATTTTATATCAAAGTAAATGCGACAATATTTCAATTGATAATATCCGCTTTTGCAATAATGTTTGAGCAGTAAATTACCATCCAATAAGAAAAAATATTTCTATGATAGTTGTTAACAAAAGAGGATAATGATCAGTTGGGTGTAGAAATACTCGCAAGTACTTCTCGACACTTGGAAAGTCACCGACCTTGACAGACATTTCGAGTTACGCCGTGAATTAGTGCTCTTTCTCCATAGTCAACAAGCTGTATCATTACTGGATATGTAAAAAAATCTCGACTATCCGGACAAGTGTGTTGATATACGAGACGCCCTAGAACTTGCCACAATGTCTACGATTAAAGGGTTATCCTGTTGGAGCATACATTTCTTTATCTGATATTTGATTCGAGGATCTGCTGATTGACGTTTTGAATGTGGATATTTGTATGGAATCGGGTTTGATTTTTCTCTCAATCATTTTTTCTTCGATAACTAGCGATCAATTAGAAAGCGAACCGGGTCGCTCAAGGGACACGATGTTGCAATAACAGCATTCGATATCGTGCGTTGATCACTCTAGATGTCACCCAACATTCGATTAACAAAGTAATTAAATAAAACTGTATTTTAATAAATAAATTTTCATAAAACTCTTAAGTTATTAATGATGTTACATATGTAATTCAGAATTTATTTCATCCGTTCTTGCATAATCTTGTAAATTTCTTGGGCACGCAGATTAATGTACAAATATCATGAAGATGATAGTGAATATATACATATAAAAAAATATACATGGTGTTTTAGATTATCTATATACTTATCTATAGTTTTTTTTCTAAATTTAGATTTTTCATTACAATATTTTACTGTAACATTGTTTGGTGCTTACAATTTTAATTATTTCTCAATGTTTTTTTAGTATGCGTCTATAGGAGTATTTTGTAATTTTAATTTTTATTATTTTATATTTATATATACGAACACGCAGAAAAATAGAAACATTTTTTATTATATGAAATGCGCATAATATGTTACTATATAAAAAGTAATTTTGATAAAACTGGAACGAAATAAAAATTTGACAATTATATAACAATTATATAAGTTAATTAGCTAAAAGCTATTATGTGCGAAATATTGACAGGTTGACACTCGCAAAAATGATGCAACGGTTGCTTTCGCCAAATCTGAGTGTCGTCTCTTAATGCTGTGTATAAATTATGTACAATGCAAACTGAATCCCCTAGTTGTATAATTATGCATGTATTATTTTATTCTCGAAAGAAACTGATATACATATTATATGATTTATTCATATATTTGGAACTGCAAGAGATTTTAATCAGAATTTATAGAATGTCGAGTTTTTCGAGTTTCTTAGTAAACGAAATAGCAAAAAATAAAGAGAATTTAAGAATTAAACGCGTTAGAATACACACACATATACATGTATATAAATGATTCTATTTAAACAATTCATTTCTAAATGATCCTATCTGAATGAATACTTCTAATAAACAAAAATATGTGTTGTACAAATATGAACCATCACAAAGACATGAAATGCAACAAATTGCAACGAAAAATAATTCCTTTGTACTTGTGTAGGAGAATAAAGATAACCAATTGAAGATAGACGACTAGTTGACAATGATCATACTGATCCATTATGATTATGACTGTAAAGACGTCTGCATGGTGTTTACAGAGAACGCGTAATCGATTAAGTAAATTCGGATAAGTAAATTACGGAGCAATTCGCAATAAGCCACGAAAGATTCAAATAGAAAATTCACTAGTTTACGAGAGTTGCGTTTGAATTACGAGAGATTTTCGATATTTTTCGTGAGTTTGAATGATGCGAATAGTCAGTATTTAATTGATCTACTTTCGATTATAATCGCACGAAACAAGACTTTCACACGAAAGACTTTGTTTGCTTTATTTAAAAATACATTTTGAATAAATTATAATTATCCACATCTGTGTGCGTACAAGACTATATTTTAAATTATTAAATATTACTATTAATTTAAATTATTACCATCCATGCATACTTATGCTACATCAAAGACTGTGTTTCAAATTATTAATTACAGTCATTTTTAATTATATATACACTGGTAAAAAATAAAATGTTAATTTTAACCCAAAGACGTTGAGTAGATTTTCTGAGACATGCAAGAATGTTAACATATTAACACAAAAATATTAATTTTAACATTTTTGCATGTCTCAAAAAATCCACTCAACGTCTTTGAGTTAAAATTAACATTTTATTTTTTACAGTGTAATAATTAATTATTATAGTAAAATATTAATAGTTAAATATAGATATACAAATTAGTTCGGTCCGTTTTTGTGTTAAAAAATGCATTTATTTCAAAACAAAATGAATGAACAGATTAATTAAAGTATTGTCCATCGCTGGCTACTACTTTTTCCCATTTCTCAGGCAATTGTCGAATTCCATTTCGAAAAAATGACTCGTCTTTGGAGGCGATTATCTTTTGGAAAACGGACTAATTTGTACTCCCAATAATATTATAATTAAATATTACAGTCATTTTCAATTATATATAATAATTATAATCATTTTCAATTATATATAATAATTATAATCATTTTCAATTATATATAATAATTATTATAATCATTTTCAATTATATATAATAACCGTATATATATCGACAGCTCCTATATTTTTATATTTATATCTTTGTGTGTGTGTGTGTTGCGTTAAAGAAAAATTTATTTCTTACATTAGATTGACCGAAGAAGCACGCGACAAATCTCTAAATCTAAATCATCTGTCTTTTTTTTCTTTCGAAAGTATGTATTAATATGGAGATCCGGGTTCGAATTCCGGCTGAGATATATTTTTCGCAATAAAATGATTTATAAGTTTTATAAACTCTTTATCAGATTATTAAAATCTTTTTAAAATGCTTCACGGAAAGAATTAGATCTTAAAATTTACCCTGAAAATATGGTAATCGTGGGACAACATTATATATCGAAGAATTTTTATGTAAATCTCTCATATTCATTAATAAAACTGCAATAAAATATAAAATAAGTATGATTAATTTTACTGAAGTGCATGGTAAAAATCTTTAAATTTATTGTATTGTACCATAATTACTATATTTTCAGAATAAATTTTAAGAAATCCTTCTCTCCGTGACCCCCTCTCACTTCACCGCGCACAGTCCAAATGCCACACGATGCTCGAGCGACATTTGATCTGCGCGCGGGACGGTGAGGTGAGGGGGACAGCGGAAGGCGGAGGCGATTCGAAAATCGGCCGAAAGTTGCGTACACTTTATGTATGTCACTTTGTATTAGCACCTTTATTAATAATATATCAGTTATACTAGAAGGTTTGCGGGTTATCGCCATGTCTTTCTTCATTATTAATGCTAACGTTTCGTGAACCATACCGTTCACTTCATCAGGACAAAGGGTGCGCTGATACACCGATCAGATCTGGTCTAAGGAACACTAAATCAATAAAATATCATATTTCATTAGACTCGGATTGATGGAATTTTTTATTGATTTTAATTCTAATAATATAAACTGTACTTTTACCTTTGAGTCTTAAATTGCTCGTTTTTTTTACTCAATATATACTAAGAAAAATTAATTAAAATATTTTAAAATTTTCTATCTAAAAGTTCATAAAAATAGGAGAGGTCCGATTTGGAATTCATGGTTCTAAATCGGATCCAAAAATACATTTTTACATTTTCCATTATAGTTCGACATAGGTAAGAGATACGCCAAGTCTAAAGCAAAAATGAAGGAAATTGAATGATCTTTCGAACGGCATCATTGGTTTTATGATCGGGTTTTATTTACGCCTTATAAAGAACAAAAACTGCAAATTAGATCACTCTCCCCTATATAAATTCAGACCGAATTATTTAAGCAATAAAAATACGATTTTACTGTTCAGGGTCTTTATTTCTTGTTCATTTTGTGTATTTATTACATTACAGACTTAAAAGATACTTTGTTTATAATATCGTATATATGTATTAAATCTTATTCAACACAATTACAAAAAATTAAGTAAAACATACAAAGCTATGAAGAGTTAACACTGTTAACAGAGCGCAAATTACATTTTATCTAAAAATCTGAAACATAGATACATATTACAACCTTGAGTATTTTTTAATTTTTAATTTGTAATTTGTCGCTGATTGATGATCCGAAACTAAGGATCGAAACGTTCGACATTGTAATTTGCGCTCTGTTAACAGCGTTGACTCTTCATAGCTTTGTATGTTTTACTTAATTTTTTGTAATTGTTTTTGGAACATATAAGAGTCTGTAATTCAATTATATCATTAACTTATTTAACACGTTCACATCAATATGTTACAGATATCCCAGGAATTTTTCACGAGGGTTATCAACGATGCTCGCACATGTGTTTGAGAAACATGGCCGGTTCTGTGCCGGTCATCCCTTCGAGGTAATCGTAATGGTCTTCACTTTGACAGCATGTATGCTTAACATGGAGACAGGAGGTGGACTAGCACGTGAAGAGAACTTATCTGATGCAGTGTACTGTCATCACAATAAATGCGATATTATGGTAAGCAGATTATTGTGAAATTGCTTTAAACTTTTCTTAAGAATGTTAACTTCTTTTTTATAAAATCATATGAATTGTAATGTTTGTAATATGTCTGATATGTATAATTATGTATTGTACTATAAGAGACTTTACGTTATATAAAAGATATTTACTTATATTAAATATTTAACAAAATAACGATAACTATTTCGTGGAGTGAAGATTTTGTGCGTGTTACTGTTATTTATCTATTTTTTATTTCTTTTAATAGAAAAAGTTTCTAATATATATGCATATATGTTATTCGACAGAATCTAAAAGAGACTGATGTTATAGTGATGACAATAATACGCTGCTTGGCGGTGCTGTTTACTTATCATCAATTTCGTAATTTGCAAAAAATGGGATCTAAATATATTTTAGGTAAGACAATTAATAATACTTAAATACTTAACACGTATTTCGTATCACATTAATTTCATGATTTGTCATTATGTCGCGTGAGTAATTCATGATATTTTTGTTTTTATTCCACATTTATGTGCATATATAAATATGTATGTGTATATATATTTAATAAATGTGTGTGTGTATACATATATTTACATATGCATATGTATATTTAATAAATGTGCAACAAAAACAAATATATATATATATATATATATATATATATATATATATATATATTCATATCAAGATATCACACACACACGTACGCGTATAACGTGTGTGTAGGTATTTTCCCTAATGGTTAAAAATGATCATAAAGGCTCTAAATCGGCATTACATCAATTGGGCAACGATGAAGTTCGTTTAAATTTCTTACACGGCTTCATCGAGAGTATAAATACTTTTTTTTATGATTATATATTAGAGATCGATACACATTATTATAACGATGGAACCACATGGAGAAAGATGCGTAATAATTGTGCGTGTCAAGTCCATTCATAAAACCGGATCCTCCCGAGCGCGTGAAAGCCCTCGATGGCGAACAGTGAAAGTTTCGTGGAAAGCAATAACGTTTCATACGGAGCGTTATGTTTGATTACTGAATTCGGTTACTGAAAGAATTTGAGCGCCACTCAACTCTGCATAATGTTATGAGTGTTAACATGTTTCGATAATTTAATTCATTGCGAAATCTCACTATGTAAAATGCAGAACTACGTACGTTTTGCCGATTGACATAGTTTTAATGATTGATTGGAAGATCAAAAGAGATAAATATAATCGACATAATTCCTATAGGGGTGTGTTTAAGAATTATGCTCAGATAAATAATTCTTAGATACATTTTTGCTATAATATACGTAACGTAAACTATAGCCTAGAGTTATCTAGGCGTAATTTCTGAACGCAGTCCTGTATGAATTATGCGTTGTATTGCGGATACTGCATCCACATATAAGAATCCTCCCTTCACGCTCAATCTTTTCTTTACACATCTTTCGAAGTCATACCAGTTCTATCGAGATTTAGCATCTCAACTTTGTTTTTTAAGCAGTTCTTCAATTATCACAATATTTTAATTATCATAATACATGTATACACAATTATATATATATATATAACATATGTCATATTCAGCAGATTTTTTACTTGTGTTCCAGGTATCGCTGGCCTGTTTACCGTGTTCTCTAGCGTGGTGTTCACTTCCACCGTTATAAATTTTGGCCGCAGTGACGTCGCGGACTTGAAGTAAGCACACCGTCGTAATTTTTAAGGAGTATAAAGCTCCTTTCTCTTCACGATTGTAATGGAATGTTATTACTCTTTCAGAGACGCCTTATTTTTCTTTCTGCTTATTATTGATCTCACGAAGGCCGGAACATTAGCGCAATACGCGCTAAGTTCGCGGAATCAAGAGGAAGTCAAAGCGAATATCGCACGCGGTGTGTCTCTACTGGGACCAGGCATCACTCTGGACACCCTCGTGGAAACCCTCGTGATCGGCACAGGAGCCTTATCGGGTATGAGAAGGCTGGAGATCCTCTGCACCTTTGCGTGCTTCGGAGTGATTGTCAACTACATCGTCTTTATGACATTCTATCCAGCCTGTTTATCGCTTATACTTGAGGTACAGAACTATTAATTTAATGTTTTTGTTGGAACGATTCCTCCTTCCCACACTTTTACAACTCTCCTTCAAATCATTTCGAATATGTGATTATTCCATTTTGAACGCAGAAAGCGTAACGCGGTGAAATTAAAAAAGGCATAGATTTGAAAAAATGTCTATTATCGTCAAAAAAATTAGATATTATCAAATATATTGTATATTGAAACGTATTATGTCAAATGTCAGATATATGTATAAAATAATATATAATAATTAACATACTATTTTTTTTTAATACTTAAGTAAACATCGAAGTTTTAAGAATTTTCCAGGAAGAATTAATCATCCAATATTATGTACGTGATGAAAGTTATATTGTTATATATCGAATGTATATTGATCAGTATAAAAAACAGGTAAAGATACCATTGTACCATTATAGCTTTCTCGCGGGAGTAATAATATGGGCCAATTGAGCGCGGACAAGATATTTATAATGCAGCCGTTAAATGAGGAGGATCAAAAACCAAATCCTGTGACGGAGCGAGTCAAGATGATCATGATCGCTGGTCTATTCGTAGTATATGCGAACAGGTATATTGTTATTGTCTCTCTTATGATAATATAATAAAAAAGAATCTCTTCGTTTTTTGATGCAAACTTTAAGATAGGTAGCGGTTGGTATACGACAATGTATATATATCGTACACGACGGAGCAGGAAACCGTGGCCGAGGATGTATTGTACTTCTGACCTCTATTACTTTTTTTTATGTTTGCCTTTGTTGAACAGTTTTGACGTCTCTAATTTCAACGTCAGGTCATCTTCGAACGCTTTTAGCATTGGACTTCTATTCAATAAAATATCCATATTCAAATGAAGCTTTCCGCGTAGGAAGGAAGATCTTACTTATTGAACCACAAGTTTGGGCATTTTCAAAGCGTTGTCTGTATAAACGGAACAAATTCGCAACGGACGGAAAAATCATTCATATTTTCACATTTCATTATTCTCCCCTTGGATATTTACAAAAACAGGAGCCAAAATGGAATCATTTAAATATGCTTTTGGAAAAAAAGTTCTTTGTTACGGCCTTTTATCGTTTTAAAATCAAATCGCAAATACGTGTATAAGAGATTAGAGGGGGCAGGGAGGGAATGTCATATTTGAATATCAATTTGGATGTAACTTTAGATTTTTCTATGATTCTATTTTCGATGAAAAATAAATGAATCTTCTAAAAAGTTTATAGAATTACAGTACTCTTCATTGATATCGTTGAAATAACAAAATATATTAATTCGAAATGACGCGTAACGTTGTACAATTCCATTATGATACAATCGTATATGTAAATATTTTTTAATATTTAAAGTATGGAGAGAACGATGCTTTCGTATGCGAAATCCGTATGAATGGTGAGGTGTATTTTAATATTACATGAGAACGTTAATAATAACGCGTATACAAAGACTCGACTGTTGTCCATACAAAGTAAAATGAGAGTCCAAAAATAAGTGACATTATTGGGTGGTGGTGGTAGAGAATTCTTTGGGTATTCTCTCCCCGTTTGTGTACCGGATATCATTCTGAATTACATTTTAGTTTGCGAAAAAGTGTTGTTGCGTTCGCTTCGCTTTTCGATCAAAACGACTTTCTCTCATTTATTCATTTGATATTACATGATGCTAATTACATTGCAGTGTAGAGATATATAAGGCACTTTTTAAATATTATATAATAAAAAATGTTTACACAATAATTAAATATTTTACTAATCAAATATTTTTACACAATTACCATTTACAGTATCTCAATTATCAATTCGTTAGAATCGTGTATTTATAATATCAATGCTACATTGACAGAGAAACGTGAAATATATAGTATTTTTACAACCTTATGGAATATAATAACATAATATACATATAATCGTGTAATCTACATATAAAAATAGAATTTATCTCTACGTTGATTTATATTAATTGCTTGTTCCACATTGCAGCCGATGGCCCTTTAAGAACGAAAGCGAGGACGCGACGAAAATGGCAATGACATCCACGAGCTCGAATACGACTAATGGTTCTGATTATACCGAGAATTCCGAATTAAGAGAACATCCGAAAACACCTTGGCTATCAGCCAGTGCGGACAATATTGTGGTATTGATATTGTTATTAGCACTGGCTATAAAATTCATTTTCTTCGAGGACAGAAACGACGTGGTTGCCAAACAACTAAAATTCAAGGAAGAGGAAGAGGAGGAAGAGAAAGAGGAGAATGAAGAGGAGAAAAAGGAGGAAGCGACAGTGGAGGAGAAAGTGGAACTTCTTGATAGCTCCAATTTGAACGATATAGATACCACTATGAACATATGGTTACGAGAACGTTTCGGCGTAACGTTACCGACGATTCAAGAACAGCCGGTCTTTCCTCTGTCTGGTGTAGGTGGTGGATGGGGTGATGAGAGTGATGTGGAATACGCTGATAAGGAGATACAAACTGAGATGATACATCGTGACGCGAGCGATTCTGGCGAAATTGATTTGTCACTAAAGAAGTTTGAAATTCCCAGAAGCGTGAAAGATTGTCTCGAGATATATAAATCAGAGGTAAGAGAGAATAATAAAGTAATAATATTATAATCATTATATATATAATATAAATATATATATTATATGTTAGCTTGGAGCCAGTGCCCTGTCGAATGATGAGGTGATACAACTGGTGAAACACAAGAACATAGCTGCTTATCAATTAGAAAAAGCAGTGGGCGACATGGAGCGCGGTGTCGATATTAGACGTCTCGTCGTAGGTGACGCTGGCAAATTCACCGAAGAGATGCTCGATTTGCCATATAAGCACTATGATTACAGCAAGGTACTTGGCGCCTGCTGTGAGAACGTAATCGGCTACGTACCTGTACCAGTTGGCATTGTTGGGCCATTACTGATCGACGGTCAGTTGTATCATGTGCCGATGGCGACAACGGAGGGTTGCCTGGTGGCATCTACTAATCGTGGCAGTCGTGCGCTTTTGAAATGTGGCGTGACCACCCGCGTAACGGCGGACGGAATGACCCGAGCACCCGTAGTACAATTCCCGGACATTGTACGTGCATGCGAGGCAATATCGTGGATAGAACAACCGCAGAACTTTGAAGAACTAAAAAACAGCTTCGATCAAACCAGTCGCTTCGCTCGTTTAAAGAAAATTCACCCTCGCATAGCTGGTCGAGATCTGCATCTACGCTTTGTCGCGACAACCGGTGACGCCATGGGCATGAACATGTTGTCGAAAGGAACAGAGAGATCTCTGCAGACATTGCAGACTTATTTTCCGGATATGGAAATAATTTCCCTCAGTGGGAATCTCTGCACCGACAAGAAGCCCGCGGCCGTTAACTGGATTGAGGGGAGAGGTAAGAGTGTGGTGTGCGAAGCAATCGTACCTGAGGATGTCGTGACGCGCGTACTGAAAACTTCGGTCCACGAACTTGTCAAACTCAACAACAAGAAGAACTTGACTGGTTCAGCTTTAGCGGGCAGTATAGGCGGTTTCAATGCGCACGCAGCTAATATCGTGACAGCGATTTTCATTGCCACTGGACAAGATCCCGCGCAGAATGTTAGCAGCAGTAATTGTTTAACGTTGATGGAACCATGGGGTGTAGATGGAAAAGATTTACGTATAACGTGTACAATGCCCAGCATAGAAGTCGGAACGGTAGGTGGTGGTACCGGTCTGCCTGCACAAGGAGCATGCCTGGCGATGTTGGGGATCAAGGGTGCGCATCCTACGGAACCCGGCCAAAACGCAAGACTACTCTCTCAAATTGTTTGTGCCACAGTGCTTGCTGCAGAGCTATCATTGATGGCTGCATTGGCCTCTGGAGATTTAGTCAAGAGTCATTTGAGGCATAACAGGTACTTGAGCATGTCTTGTTGATTATAATTAAAATGAAAAGAATTGGATCAGTGTATTATTAGTAATAAAATTAAAATTCTTTCTTGATAAAACTATTTTTGTTAAGTTTAATAGTTAAAATAAAAAAAACTATAAAATATAACTAATTAAAGATATTTATTTCTATTTAACTTTTTGTAAGTGTTATGAAAAAATTTGTAAATTATATAATGCAAATTTAAAACAGTTTGACGATAAGACTCAAATTATAAATATAACTATTAGTTATTGTTAATAACTAAATATTATTTCGCAAGCAAAGATTTGCACATTTTTCTTTCTGTTTACAGATCATCTGTCCTAATTAGTAACTCGGTGCACACTACTCACAGTAGTACGGACGGGAACAGGCTAACTGTGCCAAACGTTTTGCCATTCTAAGATCTTTGTGCAGATTTTACGTAAAAATCTTAGTACATGGCAGACATATATTTTTATCACTTCTCTATGAAGCGGCCTGTTGTTTACGTTTCGCACCTGTCTCATTAGTGTTCCAAAGAAACAATTAGTCAAGTATGAATGTTTCTGCTGTATGCGATGAGATGTAGGTCGAACTCTACAATGTATATATTCCATTTATGTAAATATGTATATGGAAAAGTGTTTCGATGGAGAAGTGTTCCAACACTCTCTGTCTCTTCCCCTTCTCCCTCCCTCTCCCTCTCTATGGTGCTGTAATGTAAATAATAAAGTTTTTAACTATTCTGAAAATCTCCATATATTGTATTAATTAGGATTTATTTCGTTCATAAATTGAATGCCGGACTAAAAAAACGAATACGTATAAGTTTTAACGGAATAAAGAGACAAAAATGAAACTTATCTGTGTATTATTTATTATTACAACACATAACTATAATATATAAATTGCATTAAATACAACCATTAAACAATAAGAAATTGCCTTTAACGGTCGAGTTGGATTTTAGGTGCTAATAATAATTCCGTGTGAATAATTTATATATTACGTATGTAGTCTTTTAAACTGCGTGCCGAACAATTTTTCAGTCTTGAAATGCCACTCTACGAAACTACCGCAATAATATCACGAGTTAAATTATCTAGCAATTTAAGGTGATGCTGGACCCGCCTGTTTTATCATTACTTACTTAGTTAAAGACTTGTTTCTCTTAATTGCATTTACGGATGGAAAAATCCTTCTGCATAATTATAGTATCGACAACAATGAATTGCGCTAGCTACATTTCAATACGAAAAACGGAAAAAAAATTTACAGTTTCGTTATCGAAAATCACAGAAGCCGATAACGAAACTGTAAGTTTTTAATTTTTTTCCGTTTTTGGTATTGAAATGTAGCTAGCGCAATTCATTGTTGTCGATACTATAATTATGCAGAAGGATTTTTCCATCCGTAAATGCAATTAAGAGAAACGAGTCTTTAACTAAGTAATTATGAGATAAAACAGGCACTCCAGCATCCCTTAACAATTTTGATACTCATAGCATCTTGGATCTTAATAATGTTGAACGACATATTAAAATCTATGAATAAAAATCTGTAAATAATTTATATTACGAAAAATATTACCTCGGCCGGAAGTCGAACCCGGATCTCGCACGTTCCGTGCGATCGTTCTACCAGTTAGACTACCGAGGCAAATTATGTAGTTACAAAAAGCAAAGATTTCTCTGATTCAAAAATTTGTAAATAAGCGATGCAATAGGGATAACACAATTTTAACTAATCAAGGTCTTATCAAGGATTAAATAACAATGGACAATAATAGATTATATAAATATTTTTAACGCGATTGTCTTGCGTTATCTGTTTATAGATTTTTTCTTGGTTCAGTAAGTATACAAATATATATATACATATATATATATATATATATGTCCATTTATTGTAATAATAATAAATATCAAATCAAGTTTGCGTAAAAGATTTTAAATGCATAACTGACTCTTACATGCCCTTTTCAACCTATTATTGTTTTTTATATTTAATTTTTTAATATAAAAATTATTTTAATGTTAATGAGATAAAAATCTGTTCATGTAATAGATATTTAAAAAATTAATAACAAAAATATATAATTAATCATATCTTTTATGTAAATCTGATATTTTTAAATATAAAAAAGATGTATAAAATCGAAACTACATTGATCAACAAAGAACCAATATCTAAGCATACAAATTTTCAAGAAAAACATTTCAGAGACTTGTCGGTATTGTATACCAGAGAAATCCGTGTACTCTTTCTCATGTGAAATAATATTAAATACACAATGATTCATGTTGTCGTGAATAATAATTGAGCGTTTTTTCACATTTTTTCGTAAGTTTCTTCATAACCGCATGTTGTGCAAGTGTGTTTGTATGTATCATCCTCCTCATTATATGTGTCTTCTCCAAATTCATGAACATGCGACGCTTTAGTCGTTTTATCGTACAATGAACTTCTCACTTGCATTCGTAGCTGTTTGATCTTCGTTTCCATAAAATATAAGATTTAGTTTAGCAACAAGAGATATTGTATAACAACGTCATATATAAGTTACCTTTTTATTGAATTTCTTGATTTTAGCTCCCTCTCGTTTTAATTCGCGCGCTTCTTTTTCCTTCAACAAATTTTCTTCCGAATCCCAAACTTCCAAAGCCCTTTGTTCTATCTGAAGATGTAGATATAACTTCATCTCGCCCCAATTCACATTGTGAGGATTTTTTCGTACAATATACTTAAGCACGGGTTCCCGTCGATCAAAATCGCAATCCTTCAAAAGGTATTCTTGTTTAGCTTCAGTTTTAGTAATTAAGGAGTGTTTTCCTTCTTTATCTCTAAAATAACATATAATAATATAATATTCACAACTTATTTTTAAAAGGTATGTTGGAAAGGAAATACTGAAATAGTAATAAAAATAATTTCAAGTAGATACCACACATCAAGTGAAAATATTTATTTTAAACATCGCTACTCTACCTGCATTTATCACAAACGGTCAGATCGAACGTTTGTAAAAGATATGAGTCTGCAAATTTCTGTCGACATTCCTCACACTCATTAAGTTTACCGATATCTGGTACATATACTGGTTCAGTCCTAATCTTCAACTAAATAAATAAATGTGTATTATTATAAATGTAATGATATTATAGATAGATAATTATATATATATATATATATATACCATTTGTTGCTCTAATTCATCATTTTCTTCTATTAGGAAGCCTCCACCGTTATCAATAACACGTTGCCCTTGAACCTTTAGCACTCTTCCTTTTGTAGAACCATTATTTTCTCTACAGAAATATTATCAATAAGAATACTATTAAAGAGATTCTAACTGAATTCTTAAAGAAAAGATATTTAAAGCTCAAATAATTGATCACTAAAATATGATTTTATTACATTTTAAATAGATATATTAATTGTTTCATGTATATGCTCAACACATACCTTGAATATGGATGAGTTACTACCTTAGATTTTTTTAACAAGAGTGCTCTTTGACGATTTCTTTCAGCTCTCTCTTTGAGCTGCTTCTCTATCTCTGTGGTATTTTCATTCTTGTTGGAATTATTTTCCATATTTTCTGTACTAGCCATTTCTTATTAAGCTATTAAATTCTATGTCACTAAGATATACAATATATGTTCTTAAAGGAATGTCCTGAAAATGAACAGATAATGTATAAACATTTATCAGTTATCTCTTAAAATTGTAAATATTCAAAAATATATTATGTATACAAAGTTATCTTAGAATCATTATTATGAACAATAATTGTAAACAAATTATCTAACAAAGAGGTTAATATGGTACAAAAATTAAAAAAAAAAAAAATTTTTATGTTTTTAACAGATCTTCGGGTAAGGTATAGAATACCCTGTTCAGTTCAAATTTTGATAAAAATACACTTATTTGACGCGTTTTTGCACGAAACGAACGAATCTGGCAATAAAAAGTGCCGCTCTGCCCTCCGAACCGAGATATTAAGCGTTAAAGTTGACCAAAGTTGACGACTGTTGAGGTTAGAAAATCTTTCATACCGACTACATCATGGTGTAAGGAAACAAGGTGACCCAGTCCTGTGGATGCGCTGTGGCAAACAGCGCCAGCCAATCAACGCCTCACTTTGGTCACTGAAGATGGCAGCGAGCGCGATTTCAGTCATTTTCAGTGTAGCTGTCAAATTGCCGCGAATCCGGATTAGTAGGAAATATTAATTATTTACATTAGTCATTGGTTGATAAGCTGTTAATAGCATTTTATCGTTATTGTTTTGTGGTTATTGTTAATTATTGTTAATTGTTAATTGTTCTGTTTTTATTGAAAATTTGATGCTCTTGGAGAAGTTGGTTAGTAAAAATTATTGTACATGTATTAATTGTATTGTATGTTTTACAAATTCATAATATATGTATGAAAGATGAAATACACGCTAAAATTATTATTATTATTATAATAATATGAATTATAATATTATTATTCTTTTATGAATTATTTATGATTTTGGCAAGAAAATAAGTTTTCTGCAAATTTTTTGTTCAAAATCTCGTAATTTCATCAATTTCCAAGTTCTCTAGTCTACCTTCTCTTAAAATGTAAGAGCAGGTTTAAAGCACTAAATGCTGCAGGTGTACTGCTGCTTCTACTCCTTCCATTACAGCGGTCATAACATAATTATGAATCTTTTCAGCATGTGCAGCATGCCTTCATGCCTTTCAATTTTATACAGAACTTATTTCTTCCATTTGAATTTGCTGGAATTGCCGCCTATACCAAAGTTGAGCGCTTATTGGTTCAAGTAAAAGCCACCATTATACCCCCCACTCATCGTGCGCAATGGTTCACCTTGTTTCCTTACACCATGGACTACATGTAATATCTTCTTCTTCTTCTTATTAATTGATGGCTCCTGCCTCCATAGAGTGAGTGGAGGCAATACGGCCAGATCTCGTCTGATGTAGTATCGAAAATAATGAGTTGACAATAAGCTCCGGAAGTTTTCGACGCTATGAGACGAAAAAATTTTTTATTTTCATCCCAGTATCGCACAAGGTTGGGATTCTCGCGGAAAAGGAGCAAGCGGTACCTAAAAGATACCGCTAGGATAGGGAGGGGGGATCGATGCCTCTCGCCGGCGTAGAAACGTCGGCGATATGTCCGCGAGAGAGCGCCGCGAAAATATCGCGAATTACAGACGGCGATCGCTGGCGAGACCGAAACTGGCAAAAAGTCTACATAACTTTGGTGATGCTGCATTTAACGCTAGGATTAGAGAGGAATAAGGGTCCATTGTAGGTTCAAGGATAAGTTCCTGGAGAGCTGTTCTCAGAGGGGTAGCGTGGGATTCGGTGAGCTGACAGTGAAAGACAAAATGGACAAGATCTTGAAGGGGAGCTCCACAGGGGCACGAAGGATCATCAATTAGATTTTTCCTGAAGAGGCTGTGATTAAGATTATAGTGGTTACTTCTGAGGCAGTTCATGGTGGTAATTAACATGCGAGAGAGCCGAGCGTCATTGAACCAGGGTTTCTTGCTTTCTTAGCTATAACAATTTTTGAAGTAGAATTCTCCTTTATGATTGGATGATCGTTTCAAGTAATCCTCAAAATCTCTGTCTAGTTGTCTTTTTGGAATTGCATATAAGTCTGAATAGGGTACTTTGAAGTTGGAGTTAATGCCTTCGTCTGATGGCTTTTTTGGCCAGCTCATCCGCTGTTTCGTTTCCCATAATACCACGATGAGAGGGAATCCAAATGAATGTAATATGAGAGTTGTTAAACTTGCGGCTTCCTCGATGAGAGCTCTAATTTTAAATTCTACTGACTGCTGACCGATATGACGTATATTTAAAACTATCGCAGTATTATCACGAGTTAAATTGTATTAATATATTACCACGAAAAGTAACCGATTATTAATTAAAGTTGCCAGTACAAAGTGAACATACGTAAAGTGTATGTAACCTTCGGCCGATTTTCGAATCGCATTCGCTTTTCGCTGCATCTCTCATCTCTTATTAAATATATATATATTTAAATTTTGTAATTGACGGTTCGAACGGCTGCGGCTGCTGACGCAGTTTCTCGCAGGTATCAAAATTATCAGCTCGAGGGAGCGTGAGAGCGTCCGGTCTACAGTCCGTTATCTCGATATGCGCGCTGCATCAACATTTCGTTACTTAATAAACTCGCCAACAAAGAGCTACGACTATGTTTAAAGAATTAGAATTATGTCTTATATTTACGCATAGAATATGGAAAAAGGAAAAAGAGAACATACATCAGCGGCTAGTTGCACAGTGTAGCGAGACAAGGCGACACGCGAAATTTATGCGGTCGTCACATGATGTTACAACTTTCCCTAGCCCTGTTTCATTTTACCCCAAATCGGGGCAAGATGTATACCAGTTTGGACTTCTTTATTTTTTTACATTTATTTACATGAACATCTTAAAATTACACCTTTTTGTCAATAGTAGTATAAAGCTAAAGAGTTGTTGCATCATGTGCATTAAAAGAAATAAACACATACATGATAAATAAAAAAATATATGTATTTTTCTAAAAATTGTTACAACTGGCCCCAGTCTCCCCTAAATGTGTTTCGTGCATTTCAGTATTACGATAGACGAGGTCAGCAAACTTTTTCTGATTCAGCGGCGACGGTCAAACGCTACATTATGTCGTTTCATTTTCATTAGATAATAATTTTACGATGACGATCTTTTCGTAGATTTTTGCGAACAATGTGTGCCGCAATAGAAATATCGGCCCGCAATGTCGCTTTTACGGCTGATAATATGAAAATGATTTACTTATTATAATATTACGTATACATAGCGTAGCCGGCATTTTGCCGTCGAACCAAGAAAAATGCATCAAAGAAACTTAAAGTGGGAAACAAACGAATTCGCGTATAAAAAATTTCAGAAACTATAATAGTTGAATATTTTGTAATAGACAAGAGAACATTTTTTAAGACGCATCTCATTTCTAGTTAATAATTCAAAAATTATGCATGGAATTATTAAGATTAACATCTAATACTTTCACTTTACACATTAAGGAAAATAAGGAAGTAAGTATATGCGTTTCCTTAAAATTATGTTTGTATGAGCCAGAAAAATTAAGCACGATGCTGCAATCTGATCTTAAAAATAAATTTTCAAATAATCAAGAAACACGGTAGTATCTCGCGTCAAGTGTACGCACAGCGCGAGACGCACCGTGCCTCTTTAACGCAAGTCAGCGACTTGCGAATGATCGAGAATATTGGATCTCAATAACGGTTGAACCGATCAAGTTCTATGTACGCTCAATCGATAGCCACCGCTAAAGTTGCGTTCCGAAAATGCTTCTATTTTTTTTCTACGTACTCTATGAACGGAGATATCGCGATGCAAAATCTAAAATGTAATATAAAATTAAGATTTGAAATTCTGACACGTTATGGTCTCAGATTTTGTTCTTCTTTTCATATTTTTGCCATCAGATGATGGCAAATGCCGCAACGGTCCAATGTCACACGATGCGACATTTGACCTGCGCGCGGCGAGGTGAGGTGAGAGGGACAGGGGAAGGTGGAGGCGATTCGAAAATCGGCCGAAAGTTGCATACACTTTATGTATGGTATGTTCACTTTGTACTGGCACCTTTAATTAATAATATATATCAGTTACTTTTCATGTTAATATATCATTATTAGATAAAAAGGTGTAAATTTTTGAGTATCCTTTTTTGAACATGGCTTGAACTTTTCTTTTTTATGATACCTATGATTTTTTCGAATATATCACTTACTTTTTAGAGAGTACAAATATATGACAAATATATAAAAAAATGATTTAAAAATATTATATAAAGAAAAAGAGTGACACGGCGAAAGAGAGGGGTGGTGGGGGAGGGTGAGGGAAGGGGTGAGGGGTTGCGGTCGGTCGAAGATGGAGAAGGTGTGAGTGAAAGGTGAGAGGGGATATTAGAAAGTTTTAATATGGCCTTGAATGCGGATAGAGAAGAAGAAGAAGAAGAAGGAGACGTTTCTTAATTTTTCATTAAAATCACCACTTTTCGACCGCTTATATTCCGAGAACGGCTTGACCGATTTAAAATTTTGTTGGCTCAAATTACTCGTGGCGATGCCGCTTTTCAGGACATATAACGTTCGATTCAAAATTTTTTATATTTTAGTAGTTATGCAGCCCCTGAAAATAGACTTTGATGGCTCGAGATAAGAGACTTGTAGTGTCCTTCAGTTTTTGAACATGGCCGGAGATACTACCGCGTCTACTGATATTTTGCACATGACTGGAAACACTACCGCGTCTCCTGGTTCTATTACAAACTACTAATTATTAAAAACCAAAATCTCTGATCAGTGCATATGTATATTTATTCTTATAACGTCAATTAAAAATTTTCTTATTCTACATTCCTAGTGACATATTATGAGTAGAAATTAGTTCGGTCCGTTTTCCAAAAGATGATCGCCACCAAGACGAGTCATTTTTTCGAGATGGAATTCAAAAATTGCCTAAGAGATGGGAAAAAGTAGTAGCCAGCGATGGACAATACTTTAATTAATCTATTCATTCATTTTTGTTTTGAAATAAATGCATTTTTGAACACAAGAACGGACCGAATTAATTTGTACATCTAATACACATACCTACATCTTTTTAAACATTTATAATTTAATATAATTCTGTACATTAAATGTACGTTTCGTCTTTACGTTCACCCGTTGAAAACATCGTTTCACATATTATACCAGAAGGTTTGCGGGTTATCGCCGTGTCTTTCTTCATTATTAATACCAACGTTTCGTGAACCGTACCGTTCACTTCATCAGGGTGAGAGGTGCGCTGATACTGAGACTGAGACGCTACCCTGGAGGACTCCCTTTATGTAGACGCTGTTGGGAAGGGGGGTGTATGTTGAAAGGTGGGGGAAGGGGTACTTCTTTGGCCTGTCGAGAGGGCGATCTTCCATATTCTGGATGAATATCTGGATCTCGCAAGGATGTTGTTTTCTACCTTTGTGCTCCGAGTCTATGTGATAA